CTCTCTCATCGCCAGGCCCAATAAGAATCAGGACAGAGCTGAGGCTGAGCTGGCCCAAAATACCTCAGCCACCAGCCAGAGGAGCAGCAAAGGACTCTGTCGTAATCTCCAAACTCATCTGCAGTCAAGACTTCTGAAGTCTGTGCATCTAATCATCACATTTACTCTATTTTTAGCAGCGTCAAGATTCTCAGCAGTCTGTTTATACTGAGAGTGTAATTTCCACACACAGCAAACATTACTGCACTGGCTCAATAAATATGCTGAGTTGAGGGAGGGCTGGACTGAGGGGGTTTACAGGGGAGGGAGAAAAGAAGCAAGGTGGCTAATAGGTTCCCAGGAGAGACAGAATATAACCTCTGTGCCTGAGGCTACACTGACAGCCACACCTCCTCCTCCCACACCCAGGTTTATCTCTCACGTATTAATGGAATGCAGTTAAAGTAATACTTTGCTGATTTTTAACCAGCTTTGTATCATAAAAACATGGGTAGTGTGTGTAATGAACTACGGTAAATTTCCCTCCTTCTTATAGAAGCAGACCAAGAGAGAGACCCACCCCTCTTTCTCTCACTTAAATTCAGACCAAACACAGATCAAACTGTACAACTAGGCAGCACTGATCAAAAATAAATCAAGATTCTGTTACTACATTGCCTATTTTATGCCTAAAAGGTCTTGAGAAACACATTTTAGTGCACTGTTTGGCTGCAGTATGAGAATATGTGAACAGGTAGAGGGTGCCTTGCCTTTCCTTTCTCACCTAAAATATTTTTTAGAAACCTATTTTCACTGTAATTTGAGATTGTACCAGTTGGCCACCATATTGTTTGCTGTGTCAAAATGGCCCAGCTCACATTACGACACCCATCAGCAGGAGTGTTTAGTGGTCTGGTATGACGCAGTGCATTATCCTTGTTGTACATTTTATTCCTCTTGAGCAAAAGCAAACGCCACAGCCCTTTTCCTTTGTTTTCTCTGGTCATGTAGCTCTAATTTCAAACAATTTGCATCTTTTTGCTGCACATACAGCCCAGTTCAAGACTATCTTTCCAGCAGGCTTTAAGACACTAAGTCTGTACATCTTTCTACACACCTGAGCTGGTTTAATGGAAAAGTCCTTGCTAGAAGTTCCTTTGAAATAGTGGAGACCCACAGTAATGGCAGTTTTTCCAGTAGGTGACTGCTCTCAACTAGTGTCCAAATGTAAATCTATGCTCGACTATAGCAAAAGATATCAGTGACCAAATCATTTGCACTGGAATTGTATATGCCTGTTCCTGTCCATGATGCCAGACGAGTAGCCTGTTGTCAGGTACATTAGGGCTGAAACTGATTATTTATCAACTAGTTTGGTCTATAAAATGTCAGAATATAGTGAAAAGGGTCCTCATATTGCTTGTTTTGTTCAACTAACTGTCCAAAACCAAAAAGTATTAATCTTAATATCACAAAAATAAGCAAATATATGCAATGAGCAGCTGGTGTGAGTGACATTCTGGATGTTTTTTGCTTAAAGGATTGTCAAGATTGTTGCAAATTAATTTTCTGTCAATAGACTGATCAACGCATCAATAAATTGCTTGAACTCTGAGGTAAATAGTCAAGGTGGAACACAAACCTACCACAAGTGAGTGGCTCTACTGTATGCAGCCCATGTGCATGCAAGCTTCCACCTTACTATTTTACATATTAAAACGTGTTTCCATCCCCCTCAGGTGCATGCAGCCCACACCAAGCATCTGCTCCGACACTTCTATGTATCTGTGACCTCACCTAATGTCACAACATAAATAATGAGGCTGTTAGCAGCAACGTGAGTCATCTGTATTTGGCTTTTGTCCAGTATTCCACTGTAGTCCTTGATTCTGACTATATAGCTTTGCTCTGGACTGGACTGGGCCCAAGGTGCTCTGCAGTTTGAATCCATCACATGGTTCATTGTTTACTGTAGCTAACTGACCGCTGCAGGAGCATGATTTCAAACACAAATCCACAGCAGCCTGTCTGAGCCAGCCCTGCTAACACACCCGTTTGAATGAAGCAGCAATGTAAGCCATGTTTATGATGTAAATATTAGATTGTGTTGTGAACAACACAATCCTCTCTGTTATAATTGATGATAAAGCTTTCTCTGTGTTTTTATCCCCTGAAGCTATGCTGTGATCTGTGATGTATATTTAATAATCGCATCAGGCGTCTGTAAACAAATTCACCACATGGCTGGAAGCAGACAGCCACAACAATATGGCCTCTTTGTAGGGATGCTCCGTCGGTTTGAGTGATGTGAAGGAAAATGCTTCATTGTCGGCAGCCTGTTGGGATATCAGTGTGTGTCGTTTAAACTGCGCAGTTACTCAAAATGTTTCCCCGACACCTGGCTGCTCGGCTCGTTTACCTGTGCTGTCTTCAAAGTGCAGTTTCACAGTCCCGTCTCTCCCGATCCACACATCCCTGGGTCCCTCAATCCTCCTCGGGCAGCCGACGGCCGACGCACCGGCGGACGTGGAGCTTTTCCTCCGGTGTTTCTGCGCTAAAGTCCGACAACACTGATAACACACAGCCCATGCCTGCTCCTCGTTTATCGGTTGGTTGTACAGTGTGAGTATTTCTTCCAAGGAGACGTCCGCGGCGCCCTCGCTGCAGTCCATGTTCACGTCCCCGCTGTTCATATCGGCGGAGAAATCCCGGAGAATCGTCGGCGAAGTCAACATCCCTTCGTCAGTCCCCGGTCGCTTGGCCATCCTCACCTCATCATAACCACACAATTTAAAGATAAAAAACGAGAAAAAACGAAATAAAGCAAATAGTTCAGAGTCCCTCGGTCAGACGTTAACCTCTCAATCAAATGATATGTCCCTGGTGTGAACGGAGAGCACCAACGGTTCACTGTGAGCGACAGTTTGCTAGCTGTCAGCAGGTTCCGCGTGGTCTCTGTGCCCGCCGGTTTACTGCGCATGACGCCTCCATGCGTCATTTTGTAGTCCGCCATCAGGTTTTGTAGTCCAGATTCCGTAATAAAAAAAAATACAATATATTGGAGTGTCCCTGAGGTCACACCATGCATTGCAGTGGTGAATTTTAATGCTTTAGCTCATGAGGTGGAATGTAACTAAATTCAAAATGGCGTTCATTCGCAAAAAAACAGATTAAAAATTATTAAAGGGACAGTGCGTAGGATTTAGTGGCATCTAGTGGTGAGGACTGCAGGTTGCAACAAGCTGAAATTTCTCCCATTAGGATTCCTTCCATGATTATTGTTCAGGAGGTTTTGCCAGGAGCTGAATTCTCTGCAGAGGTCTCTACCTCTATAAAACAAATGGACCAGGTGATTAAAACCTGTTCAAATGCTGAATAACTACTGTGGTCGACACGGAAGTGGAAGGGCCCTGTCTAGAGTCAGTGTTTGGTTTGTTCATTCTGGACGACTCTAGCAAGAATTTTTAAAAACATATTTATAAAAAATTACCATTATATACAATATCTTATGGGGGAAAAAACAACACCAGTTTGACCAATAGGCTTTTCTAGTGGTTCTCAAATTTTTTTTGGCATGCCCCCAGAGGTATAAACAAAAGTTCATACTCCTGAACCATATATCTTTAAAACAATCATTAATAATAACTAGGGAAGCAACTAATAAAAAGGATCCACGCTGAATTAAGTTAATTAAAGGTCAGCACAGTATCATCAATCTCTTGTTTATTTTCCCTAGACAAATCTTATTTGTTTCACTCCATATTTTTCCCCTGCTTGCACCTACAGTGGCTCTATGCCATCCTAAGACTCAACCCACAGAACTACTAGGCTATTCCCTGGAGTGCAAAAAAATACAATAAATTTGGAAAATAAATAAAAGCCGAATTATCTGGTTTTGCAAGTGAACCCTGCACTAAAACTTTAAGGTACTTCATTTCATTGTATGCTGCTTAGTACTTCTGCTCGACCACTTTTTTTGGCAGCTGTAATTACTGATTTTTTTATTTATTTATTTAATTTATTTATTTATTTGCATTACTATTTACACAATTCCCCCAAAATAAACAACGTGACAACACAGACATTCTAAATGGCGCCCTTTGTATCTCCTGTTGGCATGTTTGTTCATGCAGTAGCTGATTAAGAAATAGAATGTATAGTTTTTTTGGCAGCTGACAAGGAAGCCATAAAAGATGATGATTTTCCTCATGGGGATTAATGAAGTCTCACCTGATCTTATTTTACCAAACTTTGCAAATTAAGATTTTAGGCCTGGTAAGCATAAAAATGTGTTGTGAAAATATAATGCATTGTTAAATATTAATTTTCCCAACAGTGGTAATCACATACTTTTCCACATCTACAACATTAAAATTGTGCTTACATGTTAATGCATCAGTTAAAATAATCAATTATTAAATACAATAAATATAATAATATAACACTAAACACTAGGCCCAATTTTATGTTTGAAACTTTAACTGCTAATACTCAAAAAATACTTAAGTTTTTAAATGCAGGACTTTTACTTGTAATTCAGTACATTTTTGCAGCAATATTTCCACATTTAATCAAGTAAAGAATATTCGTATGTCTTTCACCATTGCTTGTTTTTAATATCAAGCTGTGCTCAGCACTTAGTAAATAACATAAAGCAACATATATATTGGCTTATTGATTTAGGTCAATTAATTCTGCTTTTGTCTTTGCCTGGAGCTAACGAGAAATGACTGCACATATCACGTTTTTCTGGGTTTCACAACTTAAGAAGCTGACAATTTTAATTCAAAGAAGAAAAGTGATGCAGATCCTGTGTGTCAAAATGTTGTTTCCAGTCACAAAAGTTGGTCTGTAAACATCTCAGCATTATCATCTCAGTGAACTCTTGACAAGTAACAGTTATCATAAGCATAAAATGTCAGTTTAGACAGGTTTTCTTAAAGACTCCAGCTGATCAACAACACCATCTGCTGGCCATAACTGTCACTCTGCTCATGAATCATCTTGAATGCACTTCTCAGTGGAGTTTTCCATTGTCACGTGTACCAAATAAGCAAAAAGTTTTATTTCTGACAGCTTGCTTTTGTTAATGTTTAGGCAGAGACATTTTGCCATCAGCGCTGAATCAATTTGAGATTGATTAAACATGCAGATCAGTGTAAGCCACACAAATGACCCATCGTTAAAATATATCGTGGTAAATAATAAGGTATAACTTCATATAACATAAAAGAAGATGCAAGAGAACACATAATGCTGAACACAACAAACTCTCAAAGTGAAAACAGGAGCAGTTCAGATGAATTGTAGGCACATGCGGGTGTGTTTGTTTTTTTATCTTGCAAAGGCTGGAGAAGACAGTCTTCAGCCCTCAAGCGTCAAACCTTCAAACCTCAGTTTCTAAACAGCACTTCAGGGTCTTTTAAATGAAAATAATTTACAGCATGTTTGAGGTTAAACAGCATTGTCATTGTTTTCATTCACAAAGAAAAAAAAGAATATACTTGCACAAAGTACTGAAGCAAATTCTTAAGGAAGGCCTCACACAGAAAACATTTGATGTGCAGATTGTGATTATCATGTGCATACTGGACAGCCTGTTCTTGTTTTCTTCAAAGTTGGCTTAACACAGTGACTCATTCCCTGACCGGCAACTTAAGCATGGGAGAAAAGCGTGGTGGAGAGTGGGAGCACTATTTGTGATCCACCCTCTGCTTCACTTCACGCATGCATTTGCAATGGCACAACAAAGATGCAGCATCCCAAGATCTTTGGATGGAAACATTATGCAAGTGCTTATGTTGTAAACCACTGAGATCGACAGCCAAGGTCTCGCAAACATCATCCCCACACTTCTGTATATCACTGTCCCATCTTTTGGTGAACTTCTCACAGTTCCGGCCATCTCCCTCTCTGCAGAGTCGTGGCTTTTCTTCATCTTTCATCACACACATTCCCAGGTTCGGCGTCTCCACTACTGTTGTTATTGACAGGCTGCCCATCCTTAGACAAAGCGTTGGCCTCTTTTGATGCCCTCCTTTTGGACTCACGAGTGGTTTGCTGTGAAAAGATGTAAGAGTATTGAATGTCACGTCATTTAAATGTCACCACCGGACAGAGAGCGAGTGGGCAACGATGGCCAACTGAGACCTGAGTCACTGAAGCCCTGCACACAAGAGGAAGGTTAAATTAATAAAAACACAATAGTCTATGTTTCTGTGTTGCTGAAAATGTCATTTGTTTGGTCAGAAGAATTGATTTTTCATATCTTTTTGAAATGTTAAATGAGTTTTGTACAGACAAACAAAACATTTGTAACTCAGTCCCCAATAATGACAATGAAATTAAAACATGCTCTTTCTATCCGTTATTCATGAGTATTAGAGCCTACACATTTACATCCATCCATCCATCCATTTTCATCCACCTATCCAGGGCCGGGTCGCAGGGGCAGCAGGCCGCGCAAAGCACCCCAGATGTCCCTCTCCCCACAAACACTGTCCAGCTCCTCCTGTGGGACCCCAAGGCATTCTCAGGCCAGATGAGATATGTAATCCCTCCAGCGTGTTCTGGGTCTTCCCCAGGGCCTCTTACCAGTTGGACGTGCCCAAAACACCTCTAACAGGAGGCACCCAGGAGGCATCCTGATCAGATGCCCGAACCACCTCAACGGACCCCTTTCAACGCAAAGGAGTTGATTTGATTGTGAATCAAAAATAAAATTAGCAGCACTTTTTGTTTGCATGAACATTAAAATAACAGCATACCCAACACCTTCTGTAAACATATGAAAACCATATAAAATGTGCATTAACATTAAAGATAGCCTGTCTTTTAAATGTGTGCTTCAGGGTCTGTGTCACTGCGGACAAGAAGCCAGTAGAATCTCTAGGTTTGCCTGCTGCACGCCCACTCTGTAAACTAGGGAATAGCAAAACAAACCCACGTTGTGCACGCTGCACCTGCGTCTCAGAGAATGTTGCTATCTTTGGTTGATGCTGGACAGTATTTACCGTGAGTTTTTCAAAGTGTAGCAAGCAAACACAGCTTTAATGATGAAAAAACATTGAAACAATAATACTTGCTGTTAAGAATTTTACTGTGGTTTCATCCAGAATGACAATCAAACATCGTTATTGAGATACTGACGAACATAAAGTGTAAATATGCTCTGTCAATAGATGCACACAAAGCCTCTTATTTTTAATTGTCTATATCAGTGTTGTTTTTGTCTTTCTGTAACACGTGAGACAATAGTGAAAACTACAGTTATAATTTCCTATGTTTTAACTCCTTGTTTTATCCGATCACCAGGAAAACACGAAGGCATTTCACTCGAGTCCACTGATTCACCAGGAAGTGACAGCCCACACACTTATTTAGAATGCAACATTTAATCTTAATTTAATTTTTGAGTTGTTTCTTTTATTCAACTATCATAAACCCCAAATAGTGTCAAATATGACAATGAAAAGCAGCAAATCCTCATATTTCTTCTGCCTGTTTTTAATTTTTTGTTTCAGCTCTGCATCTTTGTGAATAGAGTAGTATACAATATGTAAAACTTGTACCCCAGTACTGCACTGCATAATATACAGTTACACTGACATGTACATATATACTGTAGGATCTACAGTGTTAGTACTGTGGGTGTTGTTGTGTAGTCTATATTTGTATCCTCCTGAGCCTGGGATAACTTGGTTCCTATCTCTGCGAACATGTCTCATCTTGCTTCTCAGATCACAAGACAAATACCTGCCAGCTGCTCTTTCTTCCCTAAAGCCTTCATATTTTCTTCTCCAGTCACTATGGACTGCCAGCAAAAGCAAGTTAGATTAAGAAGTGTGCTATCATAAGCCAGATTCCTCTTTAAGTTGATGAAAATTCTGCAGAGCAGCCTGACAGAAGAACTGCACATGAGAAGTCATGTAAACAGACAGGTTCAAGACATGATGCTGCCTTAACATCCCCATGTGTGCAAAGACCAGAGGCACCTACTTCAGTCAAGGAGCGTCTGGGTCTCCTCTGGTGGTTGGAGCCAGTGGATGTGAGGGCCTGCTTCCCACACTGGGTGCCTGTGTTCACCATTCTCTTCTCCCTCAGGCTGGCCTCCAGAGCTTTACCTTTGGACAACAGTTTGGGATATTATCATGTGAAACACAGCCAGATTCTTGCCCTGGCTTCAACATGAAGACAATGACAGAGGTAGGAAACTGCTCTGTCAGGGAGTTGACAGCTGGTGTTTGGAGTCTTGTGAATCCTGCATATCATTGGTGTGGCTGTAGTGTAGCCTATTACAATGAGGGATGTTGCAGTAAAAATAGATAAAGCGGAGGCTTACTGTTTGCTACTGGCAGAGAGGTCTCCACGTCCGTGTTGGTAAGCCACGTCGATTCCGTCTCTCTGGTCCAGCTCTCATGGTACCTCGGCTCGATGATCGCATCCGCCCGACTCCCTCCACAACCCATCGGGACAATCATCCAGGGCAGGTGCAGCTGACACGGGCTAAACACGGCTCAGTTTGTCTCACAACAGCCGCTGCATCCTCCCCGGATCTCTACTACTGCAGCTCCATCCGTGGCTCCGTCTCCATCATCAGCCCGAGCTGCTGCTGCTGCTGCTGGTGGATGCTGCTCTCCACAGACAGCAGCTGACTAGCATTACCACACACTGTGTGCGTCATCCATCTGCATCCATCCTGAGTGCTGATAGGCTGAGAGGAGCATCAACTCCAGATCGTCATCATCATGCAAATATACAATTACACCAGTCAGAATCACTCTAACGCTTTACTTGAAGTAGCCTACCCCTATTTACAAACATTTGATAACTAAACATTTAATCATTCAAAAAATAATGCAGTTGTGTGCAGCTATGAGAACTTGCTTGTTTTCATTCGCAAATAATTGTAACTGCTCCTATTAAAACACCTGTTTTTGTTTTTTTTTACTATATTGTGATATATTAGCCCATGTTTTAGCAGCCTCCACTTATGTGACTTATGGTTGTTGACAAGTACATAAGGCTAATAAACACATAGTGTGTATAAACCATTTATCAAGTGTTAATAAACTACTTGTAAATGCTACAGGGCAACTTAAAGCAAAGTCTTCCAACAGTTAGTTAGGTTTATAAAATGTTTTCTTGTACTTTTATGAATAATTATCAATAACTACAACTAAAATAAAAAGAATCACAAGGATCAAAACTCAGACCTGTTGTCCTCATTCATGGACACTTTTTTTTGTGCCATCTAGTGGTAGCAAAAGCACAATACACTAATCCATGTAAAAATAAGATGGCAGCCATCTCTACCTAGTCAGTCTGCAGCCAATCCCGAAACAAAAGTGGACAAGATACAAAACCTGATCATATTTTATGGCCGAAATTTGTTAATCTATGATTAATAGCATTTGTAGTTTGATATGGCAACGCATTTGACCAATTTTAGCAACAGTAATAACACCTGTTAAGTAGGTAGCACTTGTTTGAGGACATTGGGACTTTGGGGTCTCAGGAGGTTATGCTCATGTGTGAGGTCTGGTCTCCAAATTATATTTCATGATGGTAAATGCAACTCCGCAGAATCAGTGCCTTTTATTGTCACCATATCATTAAAAAACACAACAAAATTAGGAGTGCTACTCCAATAATATGCTGACAGTTAAAAGCACATTCTTCAAACATTGAACCATCCAATCCACACAATAATAAATAAATAAATTAGTGTTATAGGTGAAAAACTACACAGTCAGTGTGTTTGTAAATATTGGACATAGAGTGTAGTAATTACACTCATGATGGTAAAGGCACCTCTTAAATAAATGCCAATTGAAAAAGAGATATCTGTCATTAAATTACACAAGTATTCATTGGGTCAGAGTTTGGTTCAATATATAAATTTCTTCAAGATACCCCAATCAACACATTTGCTCACAAAGGATCTCTGATGAAAGCTAGACAATCCCCAAATTGTTTGCTTTACCATCAGGGAGTTTCTGCCACATTTTTGCATATGGTATGGGAACATGTGTGTCCCTTCATGTCTGTCAGATAGTATAGAAAACTCTGTACCATGCTTACACTTCAAGTATGACGAGTATAGCTAGCTGGCCTAACAGCAGCCCAAAAAAATTGCTCTACTTTGGCAGGCCTTGCATTCATTGCAAAGACAACAGTGGTTACTTGTCTGGATTTTCTCAGCATGGAACAATCTGTTGCAAACATGGATGGTGCCAAACAAAATAATGTACGTTTTAGGCAAGGCTGTCGAAAGCATAAAGGTGCTTCTGTGGGAGTGTCCTGTGGGAGTGTCCTGTGGGGTGCAGCAGGAAATGTTTCTGCCAAACACACATGTCCTGTGAAAATTCTTGTTCTCTATAATCAATACAAATTGGATCACAAAAAAACAGAGAAACTCCAAATAGAAAATCTGAATCAGTTTTGGTAAACTGCTTCCAACGAGTTTGCATTATATTCTAAATGGTGTCAGGTAAAATCAGTTTGGTTTATATTAGCCAACAAGGTTTATAAACTTTTAACAGTGAGCCAGAGTCAAGCATATTTCACATAGAGTATTTATTTTTCACATTTATCTTAAATATGTGGAATAATTTTCAGTTATACTGACAATACAGTATTTGCACATAGACCTATCATTATCCTTCTCAAACTGCTTAATATACAGAAATCATAGGAGCATACAATCATCAAACATATTGCTTCTTTAAAATGATCCGTCTCAGTGGTTCACAGGATTATATCTTTAGTGGGAGGGGGACGATGGTCAACATCTACTTGTAAACAGACATTCCTTACATGAAGCTAAAAACACATCACTTTCAAAAACTGAACAAACAAAAACATTTTTCACTGAGTTTAGAGGCTTTAAATAAATACTATATTTAACATACATTTATTTTCCTCTCCGTTTTCCCCACGTGTACCGTTTTGTTGCTTGAGTAAAGAAGGGAGCCTGGAAAAGAAAAACAACAATAAAAATGCAGCATTTTACATGTTGTCATTTTGATGGGGAATGTCAACCATTTTGTTGGGTGTAAACTGGGGAGCAATTCACTTTTACAGTGCGGTACAAAGAGGAACAGACAATAAAGAAGACGGCCCGAGCATATCAGAACAGAAGTTCCAACAACTTATTTAGTATGGACCCAGGAATGTTCCAGAGGCATGAGAGAGGAAAAGAGGATGAGAGCACAAAAGGTGAAAAAAACAAACAAACAGGAAAAACATGTTGGAAATAAATTAAAGCTCAGGGATGTGATCATGTCACATCAGAATACCACTGCACAGAGAGGATGATGGCCATGTATCTAGACTTTAAAGTCCAGCAGGTTGCAGTCGATCTTGTAGTAAACGTAGGGGTAGTACTCCTGCTGGCTCAGGTTCAGCCCTGGGATGTCCATAGAGGCCTGCACGCACAGCAGAGACACTTGTTTGTATTCATATTTCAATACATTTTTTATCTTATTACAGTAAGTTCCCAGTGGAGTTTAATGATAACATTGTGTGGCATGGTTTGTCTAAAACATTCATGGCAACCAAGGCAACATCTGTCACACCAAACAGAAGGGAGGATTTGGTGAACAGCTGTGATAAAAGCATCAAGGAGCTTGACAGAGCCTCTTTGTTTCAGGGCTGATAAGGCAGTGCAATGTTCCCCTAGCACGGTGAATGATCCAGGTTTTGTGGGCTCCAGGGAGAAGCTTCATATTTGAAATTTCAGTGATGTCTGAAACATGAGGTAATGTGTTGCACTGATGGAGAAAACCAATCATGATCTATCATTTTCGTTTATCTGTCTCCAAGGGGGGCGGCACGGTGGTGTGGTGGTTAGTACTCTCGCCTCACAGCAAGAGGGTTGCCGGTTCGATCCCGGGCGTGGGAGCCCTTCTGTGCGGAGTTTGCATGTTCTCCCCGTGTCAGCGTGGGTTCTCTCTGGGCACTCCGGCTTCCAAAGACATGCAGATTGGGGACTAGGTTAATTGATAACTCTAAATTGTCCGTAGGTGTGAATGTGAGCGTGAGTGGTTGTTTGTCTCTATGTGTCAGCCCTGCGATAGTCTGGCGACCTGTCCAGGGTGTACCCTGCCTCTCGCCCGATGTCAGCTGGGATAGGCTCCAGCCCCCCCGCGACCCTCAAGAGGATGAAGCGGTTAGAAGATGAATGAATGAATGTCTCCAAGGGAAACATTTAGAGCTGTACCACGTCATCTTTTTATATTTAGAGCTTCTCGAGGTTTTCGAATGAAGCTTCAAATGTCTGACACAATATTTTATGACATCATCACCCCCCAAAAAGTCCTACAACAAAATCATCAGTTTGAATAAATTAATTGGATTATTTTTTAAATTAACTTTAATTAATAAACTGATGTTATTTATAGTGCTGCTGGATTGATGATATGTCGCCCTGCAACTGGAGGTACGTGCCTCAGTTTTTTGTGCTGAGTGAAAATGTGTTTGTTACACCAACAAATATAGATTGGAGCCAAATATTGTTAGATGAATACATGATGGGAATTTTTAAAATTACTATATCCTATTATGAGATCCTGTTTTTCAATAAATTTTAATTTTTGGACTGCCCAACCTTTGAACAATTTGGAAACAATCCTACACAGCCACCACTGGAATCTAATTCTTTAAACAATATATTAGTGTAGTCTAATTCTAATCTGAACCTTTGCAGAAATACAGAGTTTAACCTTTTGTAAACTGGAGTGACATCACTTTTCTTGTGCTGCTTTCAAACATCTTTCACAAGTGTTCAAACCTTTGAACCCTGAACAAGTTGGTACAATTTCTCTCAAAATCATGGGTATAAAGGCAATGAGCAATGATTTAGAAAATCATTTTCAAAAAGCCAACGAGAAAAGAAAAAAAGCAATGAAAAACGATATTTAAAATTACGTTACAGAATTATAATTTTTTTAAAGATCTTTTTAAAGGTCATTTACTTTCTTTTTTTAAACATATTTTCTTGTTTTTAATTTTTTTTAATTTAATTTAATTTAATTTAATTTTTTTTTTTTACTAATTTCTTACTAATTTTTTGGGGACATTTCTTCTTTCATTGTTAATTACCTTCCTCCCATGTTTTTGAAAGAAGCCAAGCCAATTTTCTCAGGTTTCAAGGGGTTAAAAAGAACGAACAGACATGCAAATTTGTTGATTTAGAATTCGAAGGTCAACATTATGAATAAAGCTTCAATACTTCAAACTATTCGGTACAGCCCTAAAAAAAAAATTCCAGCTGAGTCAAGTCCAATTAAGAAAATGTATGTTTAACTATGGCAACAGAAATAGTGATTTAGGGTGCGTTCTGTATTGCATACTTTTTCCTTTTTACTTTTAGTAGGTACTTTTTAAATTTTTTTTTTTTTTATATATATATACTTTATTAATCCCTGAGGGGAAATTCAATTTTTCACTCTGTTGTCATTAACACACAGGTCCGAACACACACATGCACAAACTGGACCTATACATGCACTAAGTGGAGAGATGTCAGAGTGGGCCACCAGTCCACGCTCCATATTTTTGGTCCGGACGGGGACTTGAACAGGCGACCCTCCGGTTCCCAACCCCAGTCCCTATGGACTGAGCTACTACTGCTGTACTACATGTGCCCTTAAAAAGTACATACCATTGCATGCAGTATGGACACAATCAGGACATACTACTGTCTCATAACATTACGCAGTGAACTCTGATCCTCTTGCTTTTATATCCGTTACCTTGGAGATAAAACAAACGCCGCTTATCAAATTCGCCAGAGATGGAGATCAACCCAGAGAGCTCTATCGTTACTTAGCAATGTGTGTAGTTTAACTTTAAAGTTCTAACATAGTATATTTCTCTGTCATTATTATTTTTATAGTTGTGTCCTACTGTTGTTTATAATATTTATGATTATTTTGTTTACTTAAACATTATATTCCTATTATTACTATTCCACTGGTCATCTGACTTGAATGCGCTGTTATTCATCACTGCGCCTTCTGACAATCAGCTGGCACACCCTATAATATGGTAGTATGGGTAATGGAAAGCACTGTCTGTCCGTCCATCCTGAAGCAACACCCAGACATCAGTAGCTCAAACACCCTGAACGAGGGATGATCTCAGTCTTTCTAAGGACACTGTTATCATAAATGACAAAGAGCTGGACCTGCCTTCCTCCTGGTTATTTCACTTGCCACTTTAATTGTCAGAGTGTGTGTGAAGGAGACTCACATCAATGATGGCAGCACTGCTGTCCAGGTGTTTGTACAGGTCATACAGCACCTCTCTCAGCTTCTTCATGTTCTTCTTGTTAGGCTGGAGCAGCATGGCCTGGAAGTTCACCGGCAGCCCGTATCTATGACACAAGAAGTCTGTCACCTTATCTTTTATCCTTTCATTTAAAGAATGGGTGGATGGATGACCAAAGTATGGAAAGAGCTGCAGACTGGTGAACTTCACTGAGGATGGTTCATGGAAGCTGCTCGGCCTTTACTTGCTTACCTGAGCACTGACTCCACAAACACACGCAGGGCTTTTATGTGAATCCAGGCGATGAAGGCTTCACTGAAATTCACTTTCAGCCATCGTACCAAAGGCCCCTGGGGGGACAGGAACATCATTTTAATGATTTTTAATTAAGATAATATAATCGCTTTTTTCAGTGAGACAAACTGTGGGGCCATGTTTGCTCAAATTAAACATTAAATAAGAAATAAACATAAATCTACAGCCAATAGTCATAGCTTTCATAGCTGAAAGGGAAAATTCAGATTTTTTTTAGGTAGGGCTGTATGAGGTACTTATCCATAGTCAGTGTATTACATACAATAGATGGTGGTCAGCGCGCCCTCAGTTTGGAGAAGCTTACAATATTCTGCTGTGGACGAGTTCAGCAGCAAAACATTATTTAGCCACCTAAAAAATCATTATCAGTTTACGTGCATGCAATATTTAGAGTATTTCCACTGCTTTACCTTGCTGTCTGACAGCCATGTCGGACGGGGAACTGAAGCTGTTATCTATGCTCTCTTCAAAGCCACCAGACTGCCCTGACAAAATACATTTGTTAATTTTACCTCACTGAACACGGGAGTTGATTTACCGCTGCCTCTATCGGTTAGTTTGTGCTATTGTGTGACTTTGGGTAATAGGAACTAACCTCTTAAAACATCAAAGTCACACAATAACACAAATAAACTAAGCCATCGTGCCAGCTTTAGACCAGCAGCTCTCATGTTCAGCGAGGTAAAATTACTGTTTTTGTCGGTGGAGCCTGGTGGCTTTGAAGAAAAGGTTTTAATGGCATCAGTTCCCCATTGCAAAGGGCTGTCTGACAGAAAGGTAAAGCAGTAAATATATTCTAAATACAGCATACACTTAAACTGATATTGATTTTTTTAGGTGACTAAATACATTTTGCTGCTGCCATCCACAGCAGTACATTGCTTAGCCTCCATGGTGGTAGTCCTGTCTGCTTCTCCAAACTGGGGGCGTGTCAACTGCCATCTACTGTATGTAATGCACTGACTATGGATGAGTACAACATAAAACACCACTTAAAAAAATCCAAACTAGCCTTTATAAAACCAAATTAAAGCCCTTCATCAGCACACAGTGAGCTTTGTTAACTTCCTCCTTCCCCCCTAATTAGTCAGTGTTACTGCTTGTGAGGAAAACAGCAGCCGTACAAACTGTTTCTTCTTGTCAGTGGACAAACGTGTCATCTCTTCTTTGTCTGCCTTCATCTCCTCCTCATTGTACTGGAAATCACGCACTGTAAACCTAGGTGTGGACACACAGCAGAGAGCTGGCAATCAGCTGTCAGCGAACACACAGATGTGCAGGGGCACACACACACACACACTCAAGTGCACTCATGAAAAAGAGCTATATACAAACAGACACAAATACATCAACACAAACAGTGAAAGCCTGAGTCGTGCTAATTGGAGAGACTGTAGAGTGCTGACAGATCATGTTCGTTACAGAATGGGTTTCTATTTTAGAACGTAATAACTTCCTGCGTTCATGAAACGGTGCTCCACTTGAAAAAATGAGGCATCATTACTGCTATCTGTGCTTGATTTCCCAAATGATAGATAAAACATCATTCATGGAAAAAACACACATAAAAGAAAACATTATCAGGAATTCTAAACAAAGGCATCTGTCAAATGGCTAAAAATGAAACACAGCTCAAGTAGAAGTTCTGGAATTAAAATGAATTTACTTGTTTTCTCTGGCCTTGTGCTTGAAGTCATCGATAGCCTTCCTGAAGAGAGTGACACTGAACAGGCCACTGTCGTTGTCTTCAAAGAGCAGCCTGGTGGAGAGGAGGCGACACACTATCAGGAGAGCTGGATACACACATCATGTCTGATGGATTTCAGCAGGTTTTCACACATAACAGATATCCTCATGACAAAAAATAAGCACATCATTACATTCTGACTCTACACTTCTCCAGCCCCACTGTTCATCTCCACTTGGTGTAAAATATCATTATTGTTACTCTGCAAAATGTCCACGTTTTCCTTTCAAGTGATTTCCTGTATCCACCTCCATGTCGATGAACTGAATGACCGCACATTCTGATTGCTACTCCACTAAATTTTGGAGGGAGATATTTTACTTTTTACTCCACTACATTTATTTTACAACATTAGTTACTTTACAGACTCAAATTATTAATAGAAAAATAAAATCAATTAAGAAGTTAGTTAAGCTACCCAACAGTATATAACGCTGTTAAAATTAACCCCACCTTTACCAGCTGCAACATGATTGCTGCTTACACATTCATGCATCAATAATTATAAACTAATAACCAAATGTATATTATTCTGAAATGGGCCATTCCGCAAAATGAGTACTTTTTGTTTTGGTTCTAAGAGTATGGTTGTTTTTTTTTGTTTTCATCAACAACAATACAATGTATACATTTTCCTTTTTTCCCTGCTGTACATAACATCTGTATACATTATATATATTATAATAATATAATATATTTGAAACTAATACTTTGACTTTTGTAAAAATTTGAATGCAGGACTTTTACTTGTGACAGAGTATTTTTACACTGCGACATTCCATTAAAAAAACAGCACAATTTAATAATCTTTGCGAAACCAGTGGTGCTAAGACAAAGGATGGGATGTGGAGAAAATCTTAAAATATATGCATGTTAAATATTAAATCAATAACTTACTAACAAGTTAGTCCTGTCCACTGATTTTGCAATATTTCCCATACTGGACCAAAACACCCGAAGGTAAGGAATTGTCGTTTACTGTTTGCAAACAATATTGCCACTGTAAGTGAAAGTCAACTTTAGATTCACTGATGTTTGCTTTACTGTATTTGCCTTGTTTCAGCGCTGTGTCTGTGATTTTCGTAGCTTCCTCTTGTCTGTGTGCTGCTTACAGTCTGGTTGCTACCTTTTTATAAAGTCCAATCTTGCCTGCACGCTGTGCACAGAAATGTCCCCAACACAGCGAAATAAGGAGAAAATACAGGCAGAGGACAATGTCTAAATAATGATAAATACACAGCCACACACTTCGAGTTGGTCATAAGTGATGACTGAGAGGGATTACTACTGTATAGGCAAATCCTAAGAGTATACCTTTAAAGAGATAGCCAACAACGTATAAACAGTACTGCAGAAAACTCAAACATATATAGCATTATAGATCGTCATCGTGCCTCTCCTACCTCAGACTATAAGTGCACACAGTTAATTTACGCTTTCATATCTGGACCATCCACTCCATGGCTCATCTCTTTGGTGGAGCATTTTAAACTCCTGTAGAGCAGGGTTATGAAATACTGGATAGTGACACACAGCTGATAGCTTACTACAGTCTGGACTCTCTGTTTGCTTTTGTTCCCTTCATCAACACTGTCAAGATGGTTGGGAAATGGTCAACAGTCTGGACAAACTCAAACAAACAAATCTGCTGTTTGTGCAGATTACACTGAAGCAAACTGATTTCCATCCATACGTATGGTGTCACTGGCTATCTCTTCTTAGAAAGAGTCTCTAATGCAGTGATGATCCCTCACTGGATTCTTACTCAGAGACACAGGTTGCTAGGGTACCACTCCATATGATACCACATTGAACCGAGTGTGCCAAGTGCCCAAACATAACGCTTCATATCATCTGGCCTTGGTGGCAAAAGGTCAATTGCTTTCTGTAGGTCAGCCACATAATGTTTTCTATTTTAATACGAGTCAGCTGCTTTTTACAGGTCAACCATGAAGAGTTTCTGATTCTTATCAGAGCCGAGCACCAAACCTGCTAAACCGACTGCAGAGGACACGAGGAGGACAAACTGAGAAAGCACGCCATTGTTTATTCTGTGGGATACAGATACAAAAGAATGAACTGAACCATGTGGTAATGCTTACTTTGTGGAGCGTGGCACAACCATTTCTGCCAGGGTTTCATACGTCTTCTGCCAGTCAGGGTAGCTCGTCCTGGTGAAGGAGGAAAAGAAAGATAACAGCAGTGTGATTCACATATAAAGATGACATTTAACGGCCATACCAATATGGATATTTTCAGGGTAAAAACCTGATTTTAATTTTATGTTGGACTTAAATGCATTACAATTTAACCACCAAATCTTATCTACTCAATCCTGTTGTGTCTTTTACCTGTATTTTCTCATTTTATTATGCAAAGCACTTTGAGTTGCACTTGCTGTACGAACTGTAATATACAAATAAAGTTACTATTTTTATTACAATTTCCATGACCAAAATGTATTCAGTTACGAGGGGAAAGAAGTTTCCAGGACACTGAATGGGACTTTGCAAAATACATTAGTTTCTAGACTGTTTTTTTATGTAGCAGTAAAAAGCTGCCACCTCTGGGGCTGAGAAATTAAGCTACTGTAACACACAAGTGCCAAAGATGCAGTCCCTTGAATGGCCACTTGAGGCTGGCTCCGAAAGTGAGTCAATCACCATAATCAACTATATATAAATGGACGACATGACAGTTCAACCAAAGCGAAGCCAAAACATCTTGATCGCCCCCTGGTGGCTGGCGGCAGTACAGGTCATAAGCCCCACCCCCTCCATGTTAGCTAATGGGACGTGTGCCTTACTGAAAAAATCTAAGTACATGTCAAATAACTTTTTCCCAAAGATGGTTTCTATCATTCAAGTGTTCATTTTTCTGGTAAGTTTGGTTTTAACTAGTAATTTGTTCTTAAAAAAGGGGGGTTGGGGCGTCGGTGGCTTAGTGGTAGAGCAGGCGCCCCATGTACAAGGCGGTTGCCGCATCGGCCCGGGTTTGACTCCAGCCTGTGGCCCTTTGCTGCATGTCTCCCTCCCTCCCCCCCCCCTCACGCTTATCCATCCTATCGATTAAAGGCTCAAGTCACTACCGCGGCGACGACTTTGTCTACGTATTGTAACCACAGCTCATCCCCAGGGTCACAAAGTATAGATGTAGCTGTAGCTGTTTTAGTGTGTTTTCAGTCCATAAAATTTGGTCACCTAAAACAGCCTTGTTCTGTGTTTGTTGGTTGTACTAAAATAGATGTTCAGTTTTTCTGGTGAGTACATTTTGTTTTATGATTCTAAGCCTGTTTTTGCCTTGTATAAACACGCTTTAACATTAACATTATCACAGTTAACCTTAGCTGTGAATGCATCGTACTATCCAAGCTAGCTGCTAGTGTAAGCTCCACCCTCTTGTCCACATATGGTCACATGTGGCTCCAACACTTCAAGATGGTGATGTCCAAACCAAACTTGGTGTCCACAAACCAATGGGTGACATTATGTTGGTTATGTGCATTATATCATACAGTCTATGAGCTGTGGTCAGAAGGGAACCTCCATCATGTCTACCATGGATACAGTGAGAATTCTTACCTCAGTGCATATTGCATATATAGATACAGATGTAAGTGTACTTACTTTGGGACAACCACCAGCATGGTAATCAGGTACTCTGAGTCCAGGACAAAATCCTCTTTCTTCACTATGTCAGCCAAACTCCTGGTCAACAAGCTCCCCCTACAGGACGACACATGACATTCAGATTGTCTGGATCTCTCTAACAAAGACATATTTTTGTTACACGTGGACTAATTTTAACATCATTCTGTTGTAGGGGGAAATAACTAAAGATCATGCATGATCAAGCTAATAAGTGCTACAGTAGATTATTATGGTTGTTATTATTATCATTAGTAGTAGCAGTAGTAGTAGTAGTAGTAGTGGTAGTAATATATGTCAGTGAAGATTCTCAGTCATCCAGGTCATGGTAATCGTAAATGCTATATAGTTGGCAACTGGACTTGTTAGATGTTTCACCTCTCATCCAAGAAGCTTCTTCAGTTCTAAATGACTGGTACGTAGTTGCAGGCTATAAACCCTGTGTGGGTGGGAACCCTTGCAGAGTCGTAGGGGTCACGGTAGTAGTAAATTACTCACGCATTCTTCCTCTCCAGATTTTGCAGGTTTCCCTTCAGGTTGTTGTAGGCTGAAGCTCTGGCCTTCAGGTCATTGTCTATCTGAGTCGCTTGCTAAATAACAAGAAGAAGACGAACACTATAGATAACTTCACCAAAGATCATTTCCTGCACCAAACATGTAACACATTATAATCCCAATAAGATCACAGGAGTGAGCAAAATCTAAGTATGATTTACTCTGCTGTGCTCGGTCTGTCTTGCAAAAAGTGGTCTTAATGCCCTTGATACTGCCTGATTAAAACAAAAATGGCACCTACACAAGCAAAGCAAAGGATAATTAAACATTATGTCTACAGGTGAGCAGATTTTTTAGCACACCTTGGAGATGATCTCAGAGATGTTTTTCAGCGACTGTTTGATGGGATACTTCGCCATGTCCCACTGGAATCTGGTGATGTAAGTGACCAGGTCAACTGCGGAGAGTGAATAAAACCAGATGAAGTCATCATTTATCACTTAAAAGGGGACCTATATACCCTGCCGTAGTTTGTCATATATAATGTTACAATGTCATGACAACAGAGCGTCTAAGACAGATGGTGAATACAGGTATTCTAGCACAGATAATATGAGGAAAATAAAGTGTTTTGAACACTAAATCATGAAAACATGTTCCAGTAGAAACACAAAATGCAAGTATGAATGTGAAAATGAGCAAAATAGGTCCCCTTTAAATTGCCTCTACCAAGGAGGTTATTTTCAGTTTGGTTTGTTTGTTTTTTCTGCAGGATTACTGAAAAACTACTCGCCTGATTTTTAGGAAACTTGGTGGAAGGGTGTAAAATGGGCCAAGGAAGAACCCATTAAATTTCAGAGCAGATCTGAATAACTGATGACAAATTTTATTTTATTCAATTTCGTTAACATCACAAACAAGGCCATTTTGCTCTCAAATTTCTTTGAGGTCTCTACAACATCACCTTCTTCACCTTATGTCTGTCAACTTCTGAAAAAGAGTGAATGCCTGGGAACTAGTCTGACGATAAAGTTTACAGCGATTACCTCCATTAGCCAGCAGGTTCTCCTGGACTTTGTCTCGACTGTCCTCCAGAACATCGGCCATGTACTGAGCAACCTTCTTCACCACACTGACACCGCAGAGGGGTGAGAGACCAACACAAGGGTTGAACATGAGCACAAGAGAGAGAACAGATGATGACAAGAGGCAGAGCTGTAATAAAATATGCCATTTGTTAATCTAAAACTATCTCTGGCTGCCTAACAAACACAGAGGGTGTTTTACAAAGTTAAGAATTAACATGTAGACGTTTACCTTTCCACAAAAGTGTCTAGTTTGGCCAGTTCATCTGACAGACCCACTAAGACATCTAGTGTTCCGACCTGTTAGAGATAAAACATACAAACATATGAACAAAATCCATCTCTATACCACTGTTGGCTGGATTTCTGGTGATGGAAAATACAAACGACTGCTGTGTCTGACCTTGAGATCAGGGATGTTGAACTTGTTGTTGACTGAGAGGTTATTGGTGCGTGTGGTGGCCACCATCAGCTTGTCCCAGGTCTGCTGGCACGTCTTCTCCCCCGGAGCCGAGATCAACCAGAATTCTGTCATGGCAGCTGGTAAAAGGTTCATCCACCGGGCCTTTGATGTAAGGAAGTCACTGAGGGTGAAGTAAGAGAAAGAGTTTCGGCTGTTCTGTCACTGACTCTGTATCAATTATACAATGGTAGATGTAAGGTGTAATGAGCCATTGTGGGCAGCGTTACTCAGTTAAATTATTTTTGCATCAATATCATGAAGTACTTTGATTTGCCAAACATTTAATTTGTCTTTTTTGTTAATTATTTTGTCAATAAACAAGTATTACAGTATCAAAACAAAAAAAATGTGCATCTATAATAATACATGTGAAAAATGACAATAAAATGACGTTACAAAGTATTTTATCCAGATTCCCAACTCCTATATGTTATCATAAATGATACCTAGACAACTCAAAATGAAACTGATATACCTCTTCAGCAAAATCAAAGCAGAGAACTTTGAAAGCTAGACAGCTGTAGCGTGGTAAAACTTATTTTTCTTGAGAGTTTAAAGGAGTAGTGCGAAAGATTTAGGGAGATAAATCAGCAAGACATGGCATATCATATAATAAGTATGTTTTCTTTAGTGTATAATCACCTGAAAATGAGAATCGTGGTGTTTTCATTACCTTAGAATGAGCCTTTATATCTACATAAGGAGAAGGTCCACCTCCACAGATATCTCTATGTTGCACCACTATGTTTCTACAGTAGCCCTGAATGGACAAACCATACACTGGCTCTCGATAGGGCAGTTTCTGTTTTCCTGTCATTCACCATAGTTAGTGGCCCCTCTGCTATGAGAGCGTCAGAAAAACACTGATTTTGTGCTCCCAGTAAAAAACCTCCTAAACTTCTGGATCACAAATAAGGTAAACACAAATTAGCAGGTGCTGCACTAGCATGTCGAATCTGTTGTTCTGGAGACAAAGAGACCTCTGCAGATAATTCGGCTCACAATAAAAACCTTACCTAGCTGTGAGTTTGCACCTGGCACACTGCAAAACTTCCAACTGGTTGCAATTTGCAATCCTCACCACTAGATGCCACTAAATCCCCCTAAATCTTACAGACTGTTCCTTTAAAGCTTTATTACCTAATGTTTTTTTATGATTCTCATAACTGTCTTTTAATTTCTTGTTTACTGTGTAGTTGTGTTGTTTCTGTGTTTTGCTTTTGTCGCGCTGATTGAGTTCTTGTGAATGTTTGTTGTTCCTGGGTCTGGCTTGAAAAAGAGTTTTAATTTCAGTGAGACTGCCTGGTTAAATAAAGATTAATTAAACTCATATTTGGAGATGCTCCCTTGAATACACATTTTCAGCCTGAAAGAAGCAGTGTGAAGGGTTAACTTCCATTTTATGCTGCTAAATACTTCCACTCCACTACATTTCAGGGGAAAATATCTTACTCTTAACTCCACTACACTTACATAACATTTGTGGCTCGTTTCTTTGAATGCTGGGGTTTTGCCACATGATCAACGTTATAAAAATGATGCATTGTTACACATTAAACTACCCAACTATATATGGACCTAGTAAATTTGCTCCTCCTCAAACTGCTACATTAAAATGCTGCCTAGATGTAATGCATCGGTTATAATAATTCAATAATATAATACTATATTGCTGTATATCTTTGATGTTTCAGTTTACTTTGCTACTTTAGTACCTTTACTTAAGTAAGATATTTAAAGCATGGTAAAGGTTAAAGGGCATGAGTACTTATATAGGACTATAGGACAGATATACAGACATGTAAGTATCCCTGAATGAATCACAGTCATGTTATGAAGCCCTTTGTTCCCCTTTTGACTTCTACTTTGCTTCTGATTCATTCACTTCCCCATGATTGTGATATTGACACTGCATACACACACTGACAGATTGCATCAGTGAAGCACAGCAGAGACAGACAGGTCTCCATGTCTGCTGGTTGACTGTCATATGACCAGTGTCTGTGCTGAGGAGGACATGCTACACACTGACCCTCCTCTTAATCAAACACCCAGAACAACACATGACCAGGAGCTGCTGTTCTTTGTGTCGGATGTGTCAGTCATTCTCACTGAACACCACTGATTTTAACAGCAAAAGACACCTGGTTGCTACATGGTTAAATTCACTGTTAGCTTGCTACTGACACGAGCTTGTTTGCATCGCAGTCTCGCGCTGTCACGACGTCACTAATCGGTGTGTATCCGTACTTACCGGTGTGTTTGCTGGCTTCAGTGTTTGATCCACACGGTGTAGTTCAGTAAACCCGTCGCAGCTTCCCATACATAGCGTGGATAATAACAGCTTTTTCACTCCAAGGTGCTTCAGCGCAACATCTCACTCACAGTCAGCTGACCAGAGCCGAGTTTGACTGCGGCTGCGCAGAGGCTGCTGCGCACTGTGCTGCCTTCACGTGACCCACAGTTCCAAGTGAGGTTCAGTGTCTGGATATAAAGTCGGAAATAGCTTACGTGCAGCGACTGGAAGGCGCGAAAACGGGGTTTTTACATATCAAACATCTAAATATAAGCATATAAATGTTACATATTAAGCATATACCCGCATATTGATTCATCTGAGAACATCTGTGCGTTAGAGTGTGTTAAACTAACGTTAGATAAAAGTTAGTTAAAGTTAATGGGTAAATTGCATGAATGTATCATAGGTGGGATGCAGGGGCGTAAGTATGGACAGTGCAGGCGGTGCAGTTGGGGCCCGTGGGGTGGAGGGGCCCTAATGACACCTGGAAATAAGCCCATTTCCAAAGAAGAACTCATGGTAGATCAGAAATGGTGCGGTTTTCTACATCCTCCTTGTTTTGTACACATTTTTTAAAATTTCTCCTTGCTATTTGGGATCAGTAGGACCCGGTAAGTATAAAAAACTAACATTGTCAACAATAATCAAGTCCCAATGTCCTTAAATAGGCCCGTTTCCACCGCAGGAACTTCGGGGTAATTTTACGGGGCCGGGGCCGTTGGTGCGTGTCTCCACCGCAGGAACCACCCCCGAAGGACAGAGTTCCGGAACTTTTACAGGGGCTAAACAGGTCCCTGCCTCGGGGTAGGTACTCAGAACGGCCCTGAAAGACTCCTGGGTGGGGCTTGGGGTTTACTTGGTGCTGATTGGATATACTCAAGGAGGGATGTGACGACAACAGAAAGCAACAAAATAGCCGGCATTTTTAAAACTCAGCAGACGAGGGTTAGCTCGTTCATATAGCTTCCGCTGCCATCTAAAAAAAACTCACTAAATGGCCCGTGAAAAAAATATTTTTTCCAGCGGATATCTTAGTTACAACATGATTGAGCTAGCAAAGCAGTTTTGTGTTGATATGTGTGGTATTTATTCAGTTATGGGAAATCACGATGTCTAGAAAGCATCAGCTAACAGCAGCATCAAAGCTAACATCAGGACATCATCTGTTAAAAGCCTCCCGTTGTCAGATACAACATGAAACTACTCCATTTAGCTCAATCATGTTGTAACTAAGACATCCGCTGGAAAAAATATTTTCTGCACGGGCCATTTAGTGAGTTATTACAGACACCGCTATCGGCTAACGGCGTCCCTACGTCGCCCCGGTCAAAATGGTCGTGCAACGATTACGTCACATCCAGAGCCCATAACTTTACAGGAACCTTCCTCGTACTCCGCTCTCTCAGTGGAGACACGGCGGTTGAGAGGGCCGAGTGAGAGGACGTTCCTGTAGTAGTTCCTGCCCCCCAAATAGTACCAGGAACTTCTTCAGTGGAAACGGGCCTAGTGAGACGACAATTAAGTCCAGATGTCCTCAAACGAGTAGCCTACTTCCTAATTAACAGAGTCTTAGCTTGTTACTGTTGCTAAAATTGGTCAAATTTGTTGCCATATCAAATTACAAACATTATTAATCATGAATAAACAAGTTTCTACCATAAAATGTGATCAGGTTTTGGATCTTGTCCACTTATATGTCAGGATCGGCTGCAGACTGACTGGGCAGGGATGGCTGCCATCTTGTTTTTACATGGATTAGTGCATCGTGCAAATTATCTTTCTGCATGTTCACCAATGGAAACCATGTTATGACTTTTACTTCCTCTAGATAGTCATGTTAAGGTCTAAGTTAAACAGAATGAAGTATAAGGTCAAGTAAAACCAAAATGTGATCAGGGTCTCAGGAGGATATATGCCCCTAAAAAGGCAAACCCATCTCAATTTTGGTTTTCTTTTCTTTTTTAAAATAGTATCAATCTACAACACAATTCTGTGCTTATTCTACATAAACTATAAAACTTTCACTAAAACTATTTAGTTAAGCTTACAATTTCTTATTTTCTTTTGTAGTTTCCGTTATATACGAATATGCCATGATGATTGCTGGGTAACATGTATGTTGATGTTGACCAATATCCACTCTTTGTTTAATCATGTAACAAGACAATACTATTTACCATAGCTAGTTTAGGTGCAAAATCTCTCATGACTAACAAGCTGGGCACATTTTTTTGGTAAATTGTTGAACTAATCTGTAAATATAAAACCTCTTCCACAAATACCAAAAAAGATTAGTAAACTCACAAAACTATTTTGCAAATATAACATGCAGCTGCAAATGCACAGATTCCACAAATTTAAAAAAAATCTGAAAATACATTTAATACATTTACAAAAAAATGAATATACATGACTTTACAAATCTTTTTTGTATTCGTCAAAGGTGTTTTATATTGACAGATCACACATTCACACACGAATTGTCAAACCGCTCACACATATAATTTTAGGACAAATGTATCTCCATAGAAAAGTAATGTCAATAGATAATTTGTTGAAATAGTCAACTTAAAGGAAACATCCAGCATCTATCATTACAAGGGATCGTAGTGCGAATGTAATGAAGTTTTTCGCCATAAAATAGTGGTATTAGCCTATTATTATTATTATTATTATCATTGTTATTATTATTATTATTATTATCATCACTATTATTATTATTATTGTTGTTGTTGTTGTTGTTGTTGTCTTGTAGGCCTACAACAGAGGCGAGATGGAAAAGATAAAATGTGTTTTCAGAGACCAAATGTGTGAGCTTCATATTGTTTAGATCAGTGTTACCATGTTATTTAATTACTTGCTCTTGGTACAATATTCTCATATTCCCAATATTTTGTTTTATTTTACTAATTTCCGCTGTATCGTTTTTTGATAAATCAGTAATTCCAGTATTTCCGATAGTCCTTAAAGGCAGCATGAGCGTTTGTTTTGACAGTTCAGTCAGTTCCTCTCAATATCGACCTCTTCTCGTGAGATGTAACTACTGCATTACATGCCAGTCACTGTCTTCAGGTGTCAGTGAGTCACTGTCTACAGATCAACAATTTCATAAGATGTTTTTTTCTTTATTTTGTGTCATGAACACAAAAATGTGTCTAAGGGTTTACAAGAAACCTTTACAATATTGTTGCAGAGATCAATCCAATATACATGTTATCTAACTGCTCAATCCACAAACAAACTACTTTGCTTTCTATCCCAGGCCCAGCAAACAAATTCTGCCACAAAAAGGTTCCCTCTTAAACACAACTTCAATTTTTCATGATCGTTCAACCAAAATACATCCAATAATACACCTTTTTCACCAAAGACATTTCAACATGTCGATGTACGAAAACTAAAACTAAGAAAGAAATAGGCTATATATGCTATTTCCTGAGTGATACTCTATGTAATGAAGACAAAATGTTTGAGACATCTGTTGACTGGTATTTTCTTTTCACTTACCAGCTGTCACACATACAGATACATATACAGATACAGATACATACTGCATGTAATGTGCTGATACTGATGGATAGATCTGTCCAGCCACTCAAACATCCCTTACACTTGGATAAGTTGTCTTACTGAGCTCTTCATAGTTTGGAGGAAGTAATTATTTTGGATTTGTTTATATGCTAAGAGTGTTGAGAACTGATTTATGCCGCTGTTTGTTTATAGCTTTTACCTCTGGCTACAAATGGTGTTTCCTTCCTGATGACATTCAAGGCTTTTCACTGAATTCAGCAGAACAGAAGCATAAAATCTAATTTATTCCTCCTCTGGTGGACCCTGGAGCACATACTTTGCCTTTTCACTTTACTTCATAATGTGTTGCATTGTATCAAAACAGCAATAAACCCATTTAATATATCACATTTTCCCCAGTCTTGATCACTTCAAGTGTGCAACCGCAATCCAAAACGCTGTTATCCGTAACGTTAACCCGGAAAGAATGCTGTGGCCAAACTGCAGGCTGATTCAGATTCAGCTTTCACGGCTAAAGCTGGTTTTAAATGCTGATAAAACTAAGGTTATGCATTTCTCAAGTGCTGGAAAGAAGCCTGTGGACACTCCCGATGTTCTAAAAAAGTTAGGGATTGTCATTCGTTACAAATATCTCAGTATTTGGCTCGATGACTCCCTGTCTTTTAGACCTCAGATTGATAATCCTCCTAAAAAGCTGAGGCTGAATATAGGGTCCTACTAGTTACAAGTCCTGTTTCTCCTTTGAGGCCAGAAAAAGACTGGTTGCTGCTATGTTACGTTATGGATTATGGTGCTTTGTTGGACCTGGATGCATCTGCCCATTGTTTGATACTGAATATCATAGTGCACTGAGATTTGTTACAAATTGTAAAGCCCTCATTCATTACTTTGTACTTTATTCCAGGGCTGGCCGGCCATCTTTGACCTTTCGCAGGCTCAGTCACTGGGTTAAAATAAAATAAATACATAAAACAATTCTCTGGAAAGAAGTATTGCAGTTTCATTATGATAAGCATCACTTTATTGACAGACTATTACTTTATGTCCTTGCTGTTATGCACACCTTGTTTTTATTGTCATCTATCCATGATTTATGGCTCTGGTAAGCAGGTTAGGCTGCGTTACATTTCACACAAATACTTTACAAATAAGCCTTGACTTGGCCGTCTCATTAGTCCCAAGTAGATTTAGAAGCCAGTTCTGAGAAATACCCTCTCAGAAATGAGAGCTGCACAGCCCAATTTGATCAGCTATTCCTGTAATATGTATCTCATGGCCTTTAGCATGACTGTATACTGTGTCAATCGATTAATGTAATCACGTCACTTGGTCTCCATACATAGAAAGTACAGCCAGCCATCTGAGAGCCTTTAAAATATTAGAGGGCTTTCTAGGTTTTCCTTGTTGCTTCCTCCAAAGTTTTCTAGGCCACGTTGTTCTGTGGACACAGTGTCCCTTGGACTGACTGTCATAAAACAAAGATAAGAGCTACAGGACAGCCAGACAGCTCCAGACACACAGAAGAAGAAGAAATGCAGCCTGTTGCTCCGGTCGCAGAAATATAAGTCATACGACTGAGG